TCTGTTGCCTGTCTGATGCAGATAGCAACAGGGAAGGAAAGAAGTGATGCTGGTTACAGGTATGAGCATCAAAAGTATTGAGGCAGAGGAAGAGTAAAATTGATATTGAGAAGACCTAAATTACCTAAGCCTCTCAGGAGCTACTGGGTTAAGAACCAGAAACCCTCAGCCCATTATGGGGAGCTGTGCTATGAAGCATCTTCTAGGGCAGTGAAGTATTCTAAGACTGATTTCTCTCGCCATAGGTTGCCATTGGGCACTTGTAGACCAAGGGCTATAGGAACTTAGGAAGCTGCCTTATACTGAATCAGTCCATTGGTCCATGTAGCTAAGTGTTGCCTGCACTAACTGGCAGCAGCGCTCCAGGCTTTTCAGGTAAGGGTCTCAGCAAGCCCAGCTGGAGATACGAGGGCCTGAAGCTGGGACATGGAAAGTAGATGCTGTACCACTGAGCTATGGCTCTGTTTGGGTTGGGGTCTGGGCAGTTGTGGTTTCTGGCTTGGGAGCATTTTGATGTGAATCCTGCCTTGGTTCCTCACCTCTGACTCTGTGGTGCAGCATCTGGTTTCCGGCTCTTCTCTAGCAGCTACCTGTGACATATACCGGTAAGTACCGTATTTTTTGCACCATAACACTCACTTTTTTCCTCCTAGAACGTAAGGGGAAATGTCTGTGCATGTTATGGAGGGAATGCCTACGGGTGGCATGCCTACGGATTTTCCTCCTCTAAAAACTACGTGCGTGTTATGGTCGGGTGCGTGTTATAGAGCGAAAAATACGATATATTTATGGCTATGCTAGGTTAGGAAGAGCTAGGGATGTGTGGTAAATTTTATTCAGTTCACATTTAAAGGCAAACCATACTAATCCACACTTTCCAAAAAAATGCTTGAAACAAAATAGCCATCCTTCAAAATTCAAACTTTGCTGAATTTTGCAGTCGAGTTCTCCAACCAACCAATGTCTACAAAAATGCATATATTAGGGGAAGGTGTCCATATAAAATAATACGTTACTGAAAATAACATAGACAGTGAGTTACACTAGGCCAGGCATGGGCAAACTTGGCCCTTCTGTTGTTTTGGGACTACAACTCCCATCATCCCTAGCTAACAGGACCAGTGGTCAGGGATGATGGGAATTGTAGTTCCAAAACAGTTGGATGGCTAAGTTTGGCCATGCCTGCACTTGCATATATTAGGAAAAATTCAAACGAAAATTCTACTGAATTTTGATGATTACTTAATTTTTGTTGTTGTTCCTGACATGGAAATGTGGAGAGCTGAATTCAAGATTGCGGAAATGAGAATTAAATTAAATTTTATTGCACACTTTCCCGTACAGTATAGGTATTTGGAAATATTACTTGGCTGGAGAACTGCATAAAACACAGCATTGCTGTGTTATACTTCATGTATTGCTTTAGGAAGTGCAAATTAGTTAGGATCACCTTTAAATGTGAACCAGATCAAATCCTGCCCCCCCCATCCCTTGTTGCAGGCCTAGAATCTTAAAATTAACAAACTGTACCGCTGACTTACCCAAAATATAATATGATCTAAACCAACAGGACTTACCTGCAATGAAACAGGTTAAGGATGGGAACATGAATGTGAACCTCTCCATTTATTTCAGAAACAGTGGGACAAAACGATCCACTGCCTCAGAAACGCACCTTGCCACTTCTGCCCCCCCCCCAATTTTTTATGGTGCTGCTGCATCCCTTGAATTATTATTGATGCACACCTGTCATCTTAGCTTCCAAGACAGCTGCAAATGGTGTGATCTTTCTTTCTAGGTGTGTGATCCAGGCAGAGGGAAACTTCAAGCGAGCTGTGTTCATGCTTCTCTGAACCATTTGCCATGCAAAAATAAAAAGGGTTCATGTAACATGATAATCCTGGGCAGCTTGTGTCTCTCTTTGTATCTACATCTTCCCCTTCATGCTGTGACAGTGGTGGTGAATGCTAATGAAATAGTACATAGGTTAGCCCCCAGAGCAGTAATTTTAAGATAATTAGTTAAAGAGTCTGCAAAGGAGGAAACACGAGTTCTTTTTTACCCCATAAAATAGTCCCACTATGCGGCTCATACGACTTGGATTATTCAGTACGTGATCTCATAGAGTAAAATCACTCCATGGCTCTGTGCACAGGATGACTTGCATCAAAGTCTAAATGACCTCCACCAACTTGAGTATTCCTTTTGTTGATTCCCAAGACCAGATTCATACAGCGGCCTATGAACCAACCCCCATGTGGGGCCTCGGGGTAACTGTGGCAGCAGCTCTCTGAACTGATGGAAAGTGGATATGGAGAGGCCCCTTCTGGTCCTCTGTGTCCTCATGCAATCCCAAACATTGGCATCTTTTAACAGCAGGAAGTATCAAGGATGTCAGAGTGACTTCCTCCTTCCTCTCAGCACCAACTTGAACAAAATATTGCCGGGTGCTCCCTCCCTTTGTGGGAGATGATTATTCATCGCACACATTATTGCAAAGGACACAGTTACCTTAGAACTGCCAATGTTAACCTTGCTCAGTTTGGGGAAAACGAGCTGTAACCAATAAATGCCAATATTATCTTACTTAGGGGAATTAGGCATACTCAAAAAAACTTGTGCCCCCCCACAAACAGTAATGTAACTCTGAGAAAATGCAAAGGCCCTGTGTCAGCTGGCTAATGCTTGTAAAATGCTTTGAAGATGAAAAGGAGAAAATAAATTTTAGCTTGCAAATAGTGACATTTCCTTCCTCAAGAAAGGCTAGCTGGCACACCGATTGCTCCTATTTATTAGCTGTGATTTATTTGTGAAATTCCAGCAGGGAGCCATACAAAGGTCTCCAAGTTGCGGGCTGAGATAAATTGTGCATTTTGAAATGTATTTAGCTAATTAAAATGGAAACCACATTAAAAATATATTAAAAAGGAAGTGGGGAAAATCTTCAGTGGCTTGAAAGTTATTTACACTCAATGGCTGAAGCTATTTACCATCCGTGCTTGCTGAGGAATATCTTTGGCCGATACACCTGTGCTTGCAATCTGGATAAGCTGTTGTCCCTCTCAAGAATAGCTGCTGGTACATTTTAATTCTCAAGCATGTGATCAGGTCCACTCAACAAAACTGAGAGAGTTTTGGCTGTTTAAACATTTTTTAGGCCTTGAAGAGGACATTTAAGATGTACGGTATTCTATTGACCCGGCTGTGAACTGCTCACACAATTACCAACAGGCACCATTGATGATCCTTTGCTTGTTAAGGATCATCAAATGATTAGAAGTAACAGTGACCTGCATGTAGCACAAAGGGAAAGGGGGTGAGTTGGAAGCAAGAAGTTCCTGTTTCAAATCATATTACCCTATAAATCAGGCTAGATCAGATAGGGTTGCCATATTTCAAACAGTGAAAATCTGGACAGAGCTGCTTTTCCCAGACATTTATCCCAGACACTGCTGCTGCCTGCAGTATTCCGGATACGTTTGGGAAATTCTGGACGTAAGACAACCTTAGATGAGACCAGATCTTTGTCCGGTATCCTGATCCCAGTAGTGGACAATCGTATGCGTTCTCTTGTACTGAATCTCCTAATCAGCTTAGCAGAATATGACTCTGAATTCTAGTCTTAAGATGAACTATATTTCTATATAATAAAATGTAACAATGTTGTCACGTAGACCCCAGTGGAGGATTTATAGTGCCTCATCACAGTTATGGATAAATACAGTGTGGGGTAGGGAAGCAAAAATGAAGGCAGGTTGGACAACAGCATTGACCATTACCCTAATGTCCCACTTCTATGTCCCCTAGAAATCAGAATGGTACTAGCAATGTGTTATTTTAGGCACCTCCTTAAGACTTGTAAAAATTCAACCAGGCCTTTTCAGAGTGGCATTGTTAGATGAAAACAACAAGACCTTTTGCATCCAGCACAGGTAATCTCCACTGAGTCTCTGTTTGCCCTTGCTCTTTAGCTCATATGAACTGAGAGTGCAACCTTATTCCTTGTAATCCTACTTGTTTTCTGACCTTTTACAAGGTGAGTTCAAATGCAGAAATGCTTGTTGTCATGGAGTGGACACAGAGGAACAGTGGGAGGAACCAGCTGGGGAAGAAGGCTCAGAGCCCATGGATTGATGGTGGGACAACAAGTTGGGAGAAGACTGGTGGGAGGAGGTGTTGGAAGCTGAAGAGGTAACAGGGCTTAGTGAACTGGGAGAGTCTGGCAAAGAGAAGTACAGAATCAGAGGCAAAAGCTGGAGTGGAGGGAGAGTGGAAGGAGGGAGGCCAAGAGGCAGAGATGAGTCAGGCTGGTGAAGAGTCGTGGGTGTCTCCCCTTCCTGCTGCGATGAGCTCCCCTTCCCCCTTGTTTCCAGAACCAGAAGAGGTATGAAAAGGGCGAAAGAGAAATTGGTGACGCACAAACACAGTCTTGGAAAAAAACCTGGAGAGGAGAGGATTTAGGCAGCTGTGGGGAGACCTTCAGTCTCAGCAACAGCTTCAGGGGGGTAAGACCTCCTGGAGTTGAGTTGCTGTGCTCAGTAGGCCCAGCACTCCAGTGTTGATGGTGTTTTTGCTAATAAAGAGTTAACTCCAACTTGCATGGTGCGATTTATTGGTGGCTCACTCCTGACACCTGTCAACCATTGCTAAGCTTTTCAAATTCAAGAACAGAAGTTTGAGTAAAGCAATGTAAAAAGGAAATGGAGAGGAAAACTTTGGTTTTAAACAACAGCAGAGATTTGAATAAAGTACCTTTCACACAGTTTTTTAAAACCATCATTTCTGTCTCAGTGATCCCCTATCCTTGCTTTACTCAAGCCTCTGCTGTTGTTTAAAACTGCCAATTGCCTCTCTGTGTTCCTAACCCCACTTTTGTCAAAGTTCTGCTCTTTAAAAGAGACACCTTTCCCCTTTCAGTACAGTGGTACCTCGGGATGCGAACGGGATCCGTTCCGGAGCCCTGTTCGCATCCTGAACGGAACATAAGACGCGACTGCGAGGGTCGCGTTTCGTCGCTTCCGCGCATGCGCGTGACGTCATTTTGAGTGCATGCGTGAGCGGTGAAACCCGGAAGTAACACAGTCCATTACTTCCGTGTTGCTGCAGAGCGCGACCTGAAAGCCCTCAACCTGAAGCACATTCAACTCGAGGTATGATTGTACTCAGTACTCAGCTTCTCCCTCTTCCATTCCTCAGCTGCCTCATGTGAGAGAGATAAAAGAGGTGGCGCCCACTAAACATCCCATAGTTCCTTCTCACCATGTATTTTACTTCTGGTACCACATGAAGTGCTAGATTCAATGTAGCTTTGTAGGCATCACATGTAGACAAAGCATGTAGTAATTTAGAAGAGATACTTCATTGTCTGCAATACAGAAATGATAATGTTGGCCCACTTTGCAGCGCTGTTTTAAGGATTCCCAAGAATGTACCAAAGGTACTTTCTTAGGCACTTGGATCTGCTGTCTGTGGTGCTTTTCGTGTGAGATGGTACTTGTGATGTGGAATATCAGCTGTCAGTGACAGCGCTTTTGTTAAGATAGGAGTACTGGTACCTCCTTTTCTCCTTTAACTCCTTTAACTCCAAAAAAGACCACTGGTTGTATTAAAGCAAAATATTTCTTATATCGAATCGTACAGGGCCAAAGCAATATGATTGATAGCTGTGCCTGTATGCCAGTGCTTCTGTTGGAAAGTTCTTAGACTTGGAGCAGGAGTGTTGCACCCACTTAAAAACACACATTTTGAAAACAGTGGAACTACATATAAAGCTGTTCTTTGCTGCATACACTGCAGTCCTGTGCACACTTACTAGGCAGTAAGTCACACGGAGCACACTAGGAGTTTCTACATAAACACATGTAGGATTGCACTGCCCATAGATAGAATTATTGTGGCTGCTAAATCCATGAAAACCCTTTTATTCAAAGACTGCTTCATCTATAATCATAGTATCTGTCTGCAAAATGAAAATGAATGGAGCACATGGACATTAAAATTGCGATTTTTCCTGGTGAAAAAGGTGAGGGACTGATCAGCAGATTCTGTATTTATTTCTGGGGAAAGTAGCAATTTAAATGGTGCTTTGCCAGTTGATCCACAAGGGTATAAAATGTTTGGCAAGGGACATCTAAGGCTCCTGAAGCCTGGGGAGCTCCATGCAGCCCTCCAGGCCTCCCTGGTCTGGCCCTTGGAACTCTCCATAGGCCCCACCCCTCATTGGCCTTGCTTCTTATCCTACTTGAGAGATTTTGCTGGATTGGAATGTATCCTTAAACCCTTAAACTCTTACAATGCATCTTGCAGGGCTGGCTCACCCATGAGGTAGGCTGTGGCAGCTGCCTCCGGTGGTGGAAGCCCAAGAGACAGTGCTCCTGTGGGCACCCCGCCTAGCCTGGCAGCTTCTGCAACAGTGCTGTCTTCTGGTGAGATCTCGCAAGATCTTACTGAAATATTGCAGCAGCTCGTGCTCTCCATGAGATCTCATAAGAGCTCAGCTAGACTATCTGAGATTTCGCCGAAACCTGCTGTGGCTGCCGCTGTTTGGCAGGTGCTGCTGTGCAAGGTAAGAGAGGGAGTGGGGCAGAGCAAGGTGGCACCTTCCCATTCTGCCTCAGGCGGTGAAATGGGATGCCCCACCCCAGCCTTTTGGTGGGGTGGATTGAGAATAGGGAGGTGTGTGTGTAGAAACTAATGCAGGAAAGTAAGAGTTGCATGATTTGCTCTGTCCACTTTTCCCTCTGATCGCACCCTCCACAGGCATGTGGTCCAAGGGAGGTTGCACATAGGTGATGTGGCCTTTGAGCTGTAGAACATTCACCACCCTTCCTCTTCATAGAGACTGTTATTTGGGTAGCCTACTTCTCCCCCCTTCCCTCTGTAAGTGTGCATTGGTGAGCAAGCCTCCTGGCTCCTGCAGCAAACGGAGGAGAAATTGGCAACTTCTTGATTTCTCGGTGTGTTTTAAGAGATTAATTGAAATGGATAATTAAATCATCTTGTGCCTTAAGTCAGCAGCTAATCGAAGCCTAAGAAACCCAGATTGCATTCTGCAAATGCATGCTCTGGGTGCAAACTCCCTTCCTTTTAAAGGCTATTGTTGAGTGTGGATGGCAGTGGAAATTTCACTCTTGGGACCCACCTGCATCATGCCTCCAAAGCAGCATCATACCATTTTAAACAGTCATGGTTTCCCCCCAAAATCCTGGTAACAGTAGCTTGTGTGTTGAGGTCCCCAAACCACCCCCAAATAAATCACAATTCACACAGAATTTTTGTTTAAGGTTTTTGGCATAATTTTGGCCACAGCTTTATTAAAATACATAAATGTGAGTGGTTGCTTAGGCATTGGTTCCGCCCAGGGGCAGAACTGACTTCCGGATTCCAGCGAAAGTCAATAAGGGAAAACAATATTGGGGAGAAAATGGAGCTGGGCACCAGACCCTCACCTCTCCCCGCATGCTCCCAGGGGCTTGCGGGGCCCTAGCCCTTTGCCAGGGATTTGGACAAAAGCATGGTGAGCCCCTGGATTCCTTTAATGGAATTCCCTTGCAGCAGCAGCATTGGAGGGACAGGCACTGCCAACCACATCCCCTCCACCAACCAAACCATAAACCAATGCCTAACCACAACCTTAGGGACGCGGGTGGCGCTGTGGGTAAAACCTCAGTGCCTAGGACTTGCCGATCGTATGGTCGGCGGTTCGAATCCGTGCGGTGGGGTGAGCTCCTGTCTTTCGGTCCCAGCTCCTGCCCACCTAGGAGTTCGAAAGCACCCCTAAGTGCAAGTAGATAAATAGGTACCACTTTATAGCGGGAAGGTAAACAGTGTTTCTGTGTGCTGCACTGGTGCTGGCTCGCCAGAGCAGCTTTGTCACGCTGGCCACGTGACCCAGAAGTGTCTGCGGACAGCACTGGCTCCTGGCCTCTTAAGTGAGATGAGCGCACAACCCTAGAGTCGGACACAACTGGCCCGTACGGGCAGGGGTACCTTTACCTTTACCTTTAACCACAACCTTACAAGTTGTGACGATTTGCCATGCAGTAGGCAAAAACCAAATGGTACCAGCCAATCAGCTAAATGGACAAAATTCTTACCAGGCCCCTGCCCCAAAAGCAGACGACCCCATGACAGGCATAGCAAGGTCAAACGCAAGAGCCCTAAATTAGGGTGATTTGGTGCACGCAGCAAAAGAGAACGCTCAATGCTGCGTGCCCTGCATATAAAACCTTGGTCCATCCCACAAATTGGCAACATCAAAATTAGTCCAAATAACCCAAACAGCCCAATCACTGCCAATGGCCATCTAAATGATCCCGCCCAGCAACTGAGGGGGTGGCTTGTCAGACCCCACCACAACACGTGCTCTCCATGAAGGAGAACACGCTTTGTAGTGAGAGTTCATCATTACTATTCATCATAATAATCAGTTTTAGTAGTAAAAATTTGATCTGTAATTCATCCTTCATCCTAAGGTTCTTCTCACATGCCCCTTAGAAATCAGAATGGTACCAGCAATGTGTTATTTTAGGTACCTCCTTAAGACTTTTAAAAATTCAATCGGTTGACATTTTCAGGGTGGCATTGTTGGATAAAAACAACACCTTTTATGTCCAGCACATGTAATCTCCACTGAGCATCTGTTTTTCCTTGCTCTTTAGTGCATAGGAACTGAGAGTGCAACCTTACTCCTTAACAACTGGTAATCCATTCCTCCCACTCATTTGCTGGGTCAGAATGACATTTATAAGGTGAGCTCCCACTCAGAAAAGTTTTTTGACATGGAGTAGTTGGACACAGAGGAACAGTTGGAGGAACCAGCTGGGGAGCCCCTAAGCAAAGAAGGTTCAGAGGGCAAGACCTCCTGGAGATGTGCTGCTGTGCACTTTAGGCCTGACACTTCTGTGTCGATTGTATTTTTGTTAACAAAGCGTTAACTCCAACTTACACAGTGTGATTTATTGCTGGCTCACTCCTGGGAAAGGGGTTAATGTGTGTGGGGGGATGGCAGCAGGGTTGATGGTCAGAGTAAGCAGGGGCTCATCCTGGTTAGCAGCTGATGGGCATTGGAGCCCAAGAAAATCTGGTGGATCACAAGATCGCCACAATTCTGGTGTCAGGTGTGTTCATAAGTCTGCCCTGCCCTGTTTCCATGTCTATCTTTTTTAAAAAAAAAAAAAACAAACATTCACATCAGGCAGTATACAGTGCTAGTCCTCCTCAGAGTAGGCCCATTAGATTTAGTAGATATGACTAATTTAGGTTCATTAATTCCATATTATTGTAGAGTTGTAATTAACCCCTCAATGCAGATATTTCAATGGGTCTATTCTGAGTAGGACTTTTCTGAATGCTATCCATGATTTTTGAATGTATTTTTTTCCACAAACTGTCCATTTTAAAATGCATTTAAACCTAAAATACCGGTTTTCACATTCAATTTGATACACTTTTCAAACCAATAATGGTATCACAAAATTTGGAGAAGTGGGAAAAACATAGGATAACTATGTCCTGATTTGTGCTTTAGTCCAGAATCAAGTTGATTTATTTAAAAATGCAGACTGAACAAAATCCTCAAGCGTATCTAGTAGGCAGTCACAGAACATCCAGAGTTAACACTGACCATTTTAATGTCTGCAAGACTCCTATCTATTGTTGTTTTCAGTCCACAAGTGATTCATAACCAGTGGCATTTTCTCCCATTTGCATTGTGCTTCCTTTGCATTGGAATGAATGGGATGGAATAACAGAGTGTCAATGTAATTTATGTAATTAATTACATAAATTGTATAAGTTACATAATTCCACCCCGATGGACAGCGAGAGAAATACCATTTTCAACGTAAGATGATCTGCAGCATTATGGAAACAGTGCTGTATGCAAAGAATAAAGGCCATGAGAGAACAATGATGCCTTCTTACATCTCTAGGCACCATCTTTGATTTTATTTTGGCACTTCCTTAAAACATAATTATTTAGCTATTCAGGTGTAATTCCAGTTTCCGTTCTTCTTTTCCTAGTGTTCTGCAGAAGTATTTTTATTCTTCATACTTCAGTTTTAATATTTAATATTAGTTTTACTTTTGTATGTTGCACATTTTTAATATGTGCATGGCCTTGAGGCTTTGCTTTGGAATGAAAAAAAGCAACCACCTTCTGCATCCAGCTTATGTGAGCCATACTGAGCATCAGCTTGCCCTTGCTCTTTAGCTCAGATGTACTGATATACAGTCATATGCTTCGGGTTGCACAATTTTGGGTTGTGCACTGCGCCGAACCCGGAAGTACCGGAACGGGTTACTTCCAGGTTTCAGTGCTTGCGCATGCGCAGAAGCGCTAAATCACTCTTTGTGCATGTGCAGACACAGCGCTGCAGGTTGTGAACGTGCTTCCCGCATGGATCACATTCGCAACCCAAGCGTCCACTGTAGTACCTGGATGTTGCTGGGGATCCTTTTCTTGGTCCTTTGCTGGGTCAAACTGGCATTTTGAAAGATCAGCTGGCATTCAGAAAAGCTTGGCAACCGTTAATCTCTCCAAACCCAAGGCTTCCTACAACACAGTTTAAACCCCTCTCTCCTATAGGCTTTCCGCTACCACCTGACTCTGGTTCTTGCTGAGACTGAATGGACTTGTGTTTTAAAATCTCATTATTTTTCTCAAGGATGGAAAAAGATGCCTTTTGACATATTAGCTTGCATGGTAGATATGAACACTTAAAGCAGAGGTGCTATAGTGTGTTGTGCAGAACAGATATTATTTCCCTGATCAAATTTTTAAATAATTGGTATTCGGAAATACCAACTGTGAAATCTCATTAACGAGAGTTAGTGGGCAGCATTCAACTAAGTTTTACTCAGAGCAGAGCAATTGAAATGAACGGACACAATCCATTAATTTCAATAGATCTACTCTGAGTAAAATTTAGCAGAGTGGCACCTTTTATCTCTTGCTTTGTCTACATTGGCGTTGCTCTGTTGGCCTGCACAAAAATTTCAAAATGCCAAATTATCTAAGAAGTATTCTGTTGATTCCTCATTGCTCTACCTGTAATCATGCATAAAAAAAAACTTTTACAAAAATCCTGCAGAAGTCAAAGGTGGTGTGTGTGTGTGTTGAGTGGGATGCTCACACTTGCACCATAAAAACCTTGTTTATTGCCACCATCCGTCTTCAAAGATGCACCCCACAATGGGATTTGGTAAAGCCATTACAAGGTGCCGTATGAGTTCCATTTGCCTACAGTAAATAGAATGTCAGAAGTGTCAGAGGGAAATAAATATCGGGCTGGTTAAAAGGGAGCAGAGATGGCTCAAAGCATCATTGAAAGGATTGATTTATCTGGCGTGCTGTAATGACTGCAGATGTGGATCTGTTATTCTAGATGAGCAATGAATTTGATGAGCTGATAACACGGGGGCCAGCAAGGCCTGGTTTTAATTACTGATGAGGAATTTATTTGTGAAGTGTTGTGATTTACGGAAGGTTTGTTCGGTTATTGACAGGTGACCTTGGGTCTTTTCCTTTTTCCTTTTTTTTTTTTTTTGAGTAAAATAAAGTGGCACACCTCCTTGTCCCTTCCTTGCCCACCTCCAACAGCAAAAGATGATGTGCTTTTATCTGTATGGAAAATACAAAAAGGGCCATTTTTCTACGATACATTTTTGGAAATTATGCCTGTACAGTGGTACCTCGGGTTAAGTACTTAATTCATTCCGGAGGTCCGTTCTTAACCTGAAACTGTTCTTAACCCGAAGCACCACTTTAGCTAATGGGGCCTTCTGCTGCCGCTGCGCCGCTAGAGCACGATTTCTGTTCTCATCCTGAAGCAAAGTTCTTAACCTGAAGCACTATTTCTGGGTTAGCGGAGTCTGTAACCTGAAGCGTATGTAACATGAAGCGTATGTAACCTGAGGTACCACTGTATAAATACATTCCTTTTGTGGAAACTCTTCAGAGGCAGCTTCACTGTGAGATAGAGCAGGGTTGGCTTAACCTGAAGCCCTCTAGATAATGTTGCCTTACAGCTCCCATCGTATCTGATCGTTGGCCATGAGGTACGTGGATGTGTCCAGCTGATTCTGGCAATGCATTGTGGGTCCATTAAGGACAAGAGAGTGAGAGACAGGCCATTCTGACTGAAGAGGGTACCACACTACGTTTGCCCAACTCTTGTCCATGGCAGTTACGGTTCTTTGCCACTGCAGCGACATACAGTGGTGCCTCGCAAGACGAAATTAATTCGTTCCGCGAGTTTTTTCGTCTAGCGAATTTTTCGTCTTGCGAAGCACGAAATCCCATAGGAATTCATTGAAATTCAATTAATGCGTTCCTATGGTCAAAAAAAGTCCAAACAAAGCCAAATTTGGTACAACAAGAGTTTATTAAGTGCTCTTTAAAGTCACACATACTGTAAAGAGCATTTCAAAAATTGAAGGAACAATAAATTAAGTTTCTAAACATGACAGAAAAACATTTAAAAATCAACAAAGTGTACAGTACATTTTCTAAGACTCTGGGGGACAACTCGAAGAAGGTTCCTCTTCCACTCTTTGCTTCTTGCTGAAGAACCCCTTCCTCAACTGTTCCCCCAGCCACCCACCACACAGAAATTCAAATCCAGAATTTTTTTTAAAAACAGCAGAGTGGCCCAATGGTCACAGAAAATCATAAAAATGCAGAAAAAAACCACACAAGCTTCCAGATTCTTGCAAACCCTTCCCCAACACCAAGTCCTTGAATTCCAAACACCCCAACCCAAAATCCAACCCCCCCCAAAAAAGTTTTAAAAGTTTAAAAGAAGTTTTGGAAAAGCTTCAAAAATCACCAAAGTCTTCAAAAACCTCAAAAAAGGCTACCACACCGCGTTCTATGAGTTGCTCCTTGAAGTCAAGTCGCAACTGTATTAACGGTGTTAAGAAAAAGGAAACAAACTTGCAAGACGTTTTCGTTTTTCGTCTTGCGAAGCAAGCCCATAGGGAAATTCGTCTTGCGAAGCAGCTCAAAAAATGGAAAACCCTTTCGTCTAGCGAGTTTTTTGTCTTGCGAGGCATTCGTCTTGCGGGGCACCACTGTAGTTACAGGAAACATAGCTCAGTGGTAGGACTGCACGATTTAGTGATAAATAATTGAAAATCCACATCGCGATAACCGATTCAAAATATCTGCCTGCTAGATAAACAACATGAAACCAGCTTTTGTCTGTTGCTTTGCCGACTCTGCTCTCTTGCAGGGGGCAGCAAACCACAGAGCAGGTACAGAGCAAGAACTTTCCTCTGGCAATGCCGCCATAAGCTTCTCTTCCAGAAAGGCTACATGGTTGATAGGCAGCAGAGTCTGCAGTTGGCGCAGATAGAGCTGCGCCGTGGTACTAAGGAGGAACGGAGGAGCTCCCAGTAGAGTATCTGCTTTGCATGCAAAAAGTCCCAGGTTCAACCTCCAGCATCTCCCAACAGGGCTGGGGGAGAATCTTCCCATAAGACCGTTCAGGACCTCTGGATGATGGAGAGCATCTGCATCATCAACTTGGGCTGGATCTATACTGATTGTAAAAACACTAAAAAACAGCAACTGTTATATGGCTCTCAATGTAATTTTACATTGACGATTTTTAATTGCTCTACAGTGCCCTCTGGTTTCACATGTTTATAACGCATTTATAACGTTTTAACTGACCAGTTTAGATGAGTCCTTGGCCTATCTGATATACCATTTTGGGATGAAGCATCATCTCTGCACACAGACCCTGGGACTGGAGAAGGGGTACAAGAACCAGTTGTTCTTGTTAGTGGATTTCTGCCTAAGAGAGTATACCAAAGGAAGCCCTTGAGACTTTGGGGAACAAAAGGCCTGCATACCCTTTGCTGGACTTTTGCTTTGGTTCATTCCCTCTTGACAGTGTCTGCCTCATTAGTTCATGTTAATTCATTGCTCTTCAGTGGGTGTTGATTGTGGGTTTTTATGATACCTTTTCGTTTTTAATGTTTTGATTTGTTAACTGTCTTGTTGAGGGACCTTATGATTGAAAGGTGGGATGCAAAATAGTTTAGGTAAACAAACAAAGCTGGCACAATAGATTCCCCAGGTATTAATCAAGGGGATGGTGCCCTTTGCAAAATTTGTGTTCTGTTTTACATTACCTCTTTTAAAAAGGATCCTGTGATTACCACGACTACTACCGTGTTTGAATGTGGTACTTTATGTCCCTCCTCCTTTGTGTGTGAAAAAGGCATTGTAATCTTCCCAAGAGCTTAAAAGACACAATGTTATATCTCCTTTCCTCTTGTTAATACTGTGATACTGTACAGAAGGATCTGCTCTTGAATGTTGTCAAGTTAGGTAGTTAAAGCTGAGCGCTTAGATCTTTTTAAAGAAGATATTTAAAAATAATTTAACAGGAAATCATCTGGCAGAGCTACTACTTTTATATGTGTTTTAATTCATGGGTTCTCTTGGGAGAAGGGAATTAGAAGAAGGAATTGCATGCTTTGGTGTCACCCTAATTTCGCTCGCCTGTCTGTTTTGGAAGAAAATGTTTCCTACAATGCATTTGAATGGGCTCCTGCCCTTTCCAACTGGTTAAAGTTAGCTGGAGCAGAGTGGCTAGCCAGATGGGCCCAGGGTATTGTGAACACATCCTTAAGAATGTTAGAAGAGCCTGCTGTATCTCAGAGTTTTAACCTTTCTGAGCACATTGCTCCCTTGACTACATTCTTTCTGATGCTCCCCTGTGGCAAAAAAACCACCCCGTGCTGGTATTTCATCGTAGAAAGTTATGCCAAAAAGGCAAAGCCTAGAAGACTGGCAGAAGGTAGAGGGAAACAGGTAACATGGAGGAATGACATGTATGAGTAACATTTAGAGCAGGGGTTGGCAAGGTTTATCTTGCCTGGGCTGGATTGGTCCCACTGGGATCTCTCTGTGGGCCGGATCATGAGCACGCGCGCCCACGATTTTCAGCGTCTGCGCATACGCAGATGCGATTTTTGGCGCCGCAGAGGTGAGTCCCTGCACTGCGCTGGTTTAGCACAGCACACAAGTGGGCAAATCAGTTCGGGGACGGCTTGTGGGCTGATCAAATGACCTCCACGGGCTGCTTCCAGCCCATGGGCCTTAGGTTGGTGACCCCTGATTTACAGCAACATGGTCAAGATGTGACAGAGCAGGCATGTGCAGTGTGAAAGGAGCATTTGAAAATAGGACAGAAGCACTAGCCTTATAATCAGTGAAACTAATGCAATTAACCCCATGTATGAATGCAATTCAATCTGGGTTAAGGACTGGTTTTAAGACCAAGTCATTTTTGGTTGCCCTTATGGGTGGTCTTTATTGTGGTAGGTGAAGTGGCAGTTTGGCCCTGTTACTCTCACCTGCTCAGTGGCTTTTGATACCATGGACCATGGTAACCTCCTGGATTGACAGTTCAGGATGGACATTGGAGGCACGGCAATTCAGTGGTTTCTTTGCTGCCAGGTGAGTCCACGGGGACTGCTCTTCAGGCAGCACTCTGTGCTGAAGCAAGATTGAGCTGCCAGTCCAGTCAGGTTCTGTATGTAGAACTGTGCGCGCGCATAACCATCTTGTCATTTGCCCGAGGCAGCAAATGCCTTTGGCCAGCCCTAAGGGTTAGACAGAAAACTGAGAAATGATGTGAAAAATCAGGTCTTAGAAAACAAAATAACCCGAGGTCTTACACCAGCAGATGCTAAGCTTCTTGGGACTTGAAAGCTGTGATCCTTGGTTTTCTCTCACCCCACTCTTTTTGGTGGGATGAACAAATCCCTCCCCTGTGTGTGCTGAATTAATTGCGAAGTCAGAGAAGTTCATTTTGTGGAGTTATGTGATTATTATGTCTGATCCTGTGGGTTCCCCCCACTATGCAAAGAGGAGATGCTTCCCTCTTCTGTGAATAACAAGGGCTTTATTATCAAAATACATGAAGAGTTTGACTCCAGGGACTGTGTTATAATTAAACATCTATTGGACTGTTTTAGACTATATTTGTGACTTAACTCTTGCCTTTAAGCAAATGTAATTAAAAAGACTATTAGATAATACTC